AAGTAAGAAGGACGGACGCGTTCCATGGTCGTACGCATACGTCGCGCGGTGACACCATTTTGTTGTGGTGTGTAAGCATTTGTAAATTGCGCGTGTGTTCCGTACCGCTTAAAGACTATGCGATTCAGCTTCTCATACTCCTTTCCATTATCAGCCTGCAGCACTTGAACATCCATGTCTGAGGTGGATCCCGGATACTCTAGCGTATGTACATCTGAGCGAAAGATGTTCGGGGCTTAATCCTAACGTCTCCGTAGCATGAGTAGAGCTGGCTGCGAGCCTTGACAGGGTACGCAAACATGTAGCGCATAAAGTTATCAATAGAGACAACAAGTAGCGACCGCCACTGAGGCTAGGAACGAGGAGTGACCCAAAAATATCAGAATGGACTTTTTGCAAAGGTTGTGAAGCACGTTCAATACGTCTATTAGAAGGAAATTCAGCGCGGTGCGACTTCGCGTAAGTACATACCGAGCAAAAGAAACTGCCTTTGGGAAATACGGTGTTAGCGTCGATTCCTTTGAATGCTGGGTCTTTGGTGACTGCTTGTAAGACACGAATGTTAGGATGGCGAAGTCTTTTGTGCAAGAACATAATAAAAGTGGGCTTATCTGAGGTGGCCACGTGAGCTTCTTGCTTCTGAACCGGAGAGGCCGTGAGCTGGTATAGCTTCGCTGTAGCCGACTTCTTCGCCTTGACATTGAAACGTTGGTCGGTTTGCGCCGTGCACACAGTTCGCTGGAACGTAAAGCGGAAGTCATGTTCTACGGCTACAGCAACCGATAGAAGGTTGTAGTGCAGTTGGGATGCATCAAGCACATCAGGCAGTCTTTAGCTGGCGTTGACCTCCCTTGAAATCAGCCACCTGAAGCACAACGTCACCGGTGCCTTCAATGGGGATCTCAGACTTACCACCAACCGTGATGGTTCCAATAGCATCGGTCTTGGAGATGAACCACTCGGCATGTTGAGTGACGTGGCCGGTGCACCCGGATTCAACAGTCCAGTTGGAGTCGAATGGGGAGGAGGCTTGAGCCGTAAGCTTGATGGCCCGCGGCATGAGCTTGACCACCGTGGCGAAGGCGATGCGAGCGTCTTCACGACGAGACTGGTCGTAGCCACCATCTCCACGGCGAGAAGGCTGGCGTCCCTTGCTGTTATTGTCGCAATTGTTGTTGCCACGTCCGCCATTATTCCGACCTCGCCCGCCTTTCTGCCAACACACGAGACCACGCCCCGAATTGCTGTCACGTCGTTCGTAGGGGTGGGACCGGCTAGAGTTATCGTCGCGAAACTCAACGTTCGCTGGCAGGACGGTCCCAGCGTTGGCAGTGCCATCTAGCAGGTCTTTCTGTAGGCTGCAACATTGGCGAATTTCGTGGCGGGGTTCTGGCAGTAGCTGCACACCTGCTCAGACGACACGGGATATACCGGAGCTTGGGCTGGAGCAATGAGAGCTCGCTCGCTCTTAGTAGTGCGGCTTTCGGGGGTACCAGACGCCAGAGTGTAGCGCGTCTCGGCCCCCTTTTTGCGGATTATGTCCTCGATGCTCGTCTTTAGATCATCATACGGGATGTTCTTCCAGTTACCTTTCCAAATACGAAGGTCGTCCTTCCAAGACGCCGGCATAGAGTTGAGCAGGTAGACAGACTTCTGGCCATCTGTGAGGACCGATTCGGTCGCCTTGGACGCGGTCTTCTAAAACGAGGAAGAACTCGTTCACATCACTGCCTTCCTCGTACTTGGCCTCTGTGGGGAAATGCAGGATATAGTACGGGTCGCCATGGAATTCGGCACCCTCGTACGTTTTGCAGATGGCTTGGACGATGTCATAGGCCGTGGTGAAGCTCTTTACCAGAAGAATGTGTTTGTCGTCCATCGTCTTTATCAGGAACGACTTGGTCTGTGCCTCCATGCGACGAAGGCGGCCGGACGACAGTGGCACGCACTTCTCCTTCTTGACTCGGCGCTGCACCTTGCGCTGCGATAACGAGCGATTGGCGACGGTGCCTTGGGATTCTTGCTGGTCTTGGCATCTTCTTCGCTGCCGGATTCTTCTTCTTCATCTTCTTCTTCGGAGGTTGGCTCGTAGTTGACGGACTCGGAGTTAAATTCGACTGGAGGCGAGGTCTTGGGTGCATCCTCGACATCGGACCACTCGCTGTCGGACGATTCTTCGTCATCTTCGTCGCTGCTCAACCTGTCGTAGTATTTCTTCGTGACGAAACCGAGTAGGTGCTTCCCATCAATCGATGCCGTCACTCGGGTCTTCCACACGTCGTAGCTCCTTGAGCAGGAAAGTCGAGGGAAGTCATCACTTGAGGCTTGGCTTGGGCTCATAACCTATTACGGGGAAGCTTTAGCGCGTAGAGTAGAAGGACTTTCGAAGAGTTGGTGAAAGAAGTGTGAACTTTAAAGAGCAGTTAGAAGAAAACTAAGCTAGAAAAATCTATACTGCTGCCTAAAACACAGAACAGGTTGGCCGTTGCCAACCGTTTCGGAAAGGCAAGTTGCCCTTATTATAATGCATATTATACCTTGTATGAGTCGTGAGTTAGAGACGAGTCTATCTTTAACATGGCGAAATACGTCCTAAAATATCTATATCAATAGCTTACTTGTTTTCAAAAGGTGACAAAACCAAGTGGTGGATATTTCACTAAATCACAGCTCTGGTTTGCAATAGAACGAGTCAAATATGATTAGCTTGTCCTTTTGAGCAGTAGGTATTCAGCTATCAGCTCATCGATGGCGAGCTCTAATGGATAGGTATTGTTCAGTCATTAGTATATTTGCGATTAAACTGTGAAACTAATTATTTCGCTACGCTTACTGTCTCACTAAGTCTCCTCAAAACCCTACTGCGAGTTTGCTCACGACAACGACGGTGAGAACGACGGCGAGAACGACATCCTCGCTCGGATGTTTTGGTCAGCAGCCAAGCGTGCGTCACGGCGACGAAGATAGCGTCGCTGGATGGATGCAGGTCTTGAGCGCTCTCGCTCCGCCATCGAGGCGTATTGACCCATCACGGACCGGTAGAACCGGTCATCGTTAGCCCGGAGTGTGTTGATGTCAGTGTGGAATGCAAAGCACGTTCAAGTTGAGCGAGTTGTCGTTCGACTCGCTCAACTTGATACACAGGAGGCACACGCACCCAAAAAAGTTCTCCACTAGCACTCTATCCGACGAGACCCGAGCATAGCGAGCGAGCTCATCCGACGTCAACTCGCCGTTGCATGGCTTTTTCTTGGGGTGGACCACACGCAGCATTGTAGCACCGCCTTCTGGGCGATATCGTCGTGGACTAAGGCGTTGTCCTCGGTGAGACGCCGCAGAAGCTCTGCAGCAGGAATGGGATGGTACTTCGAGCCATTTGCAGTAGGTTTCCGAATGAGACTTCGTAATTTTGCCCAGCGCTCCCGTCAGAGCGCTGTCTACCAACCAACAGATTGGTTGGTGACCATTCGATCTAGCAAAGAAGCTGTTGACAATTTACTGTGTTTCAGATAGCAATAATGAATCTCAAAATATTTGGAAAGTGCTCCATTCAGGGCAGGGGTAACTGATCATTTTGTGGATATTTCGTTAAATACACAGTTAGTTTTTTAGAATTGTTATATATGCCACAGTAGCTCATCAATTGGTAGGTAGGGTCTAATGTGAAATCTCACAGTCTTTATACGGTACATGTATTACATGTAATTGCACAAATTCTCTAAAAGACACGCACGGTCTAGGGCCGTTTCAAAATTGTGCACATACAGTACATGTATTAGTTTTCAGCGAGCTTCACTCACGTTTAAGACGGACATTCCAATCTCAGGTGGCGTCAGCTTTCTGATTTCTTCCAATCATGTCGCGTACGTTTGCGTCAGAGCAGGTGATGACTTAATCAATTTTTTTCTTTTTCCGCCAATTGTCATCGTTTCCCTTCTCTTTTCATCGATTTTCAACCAATCTAGCACGAAGAAGTGCCTCCAACTGAGTGGTTGGAGCTCCTTTGAAGAAGCTGCCTACTCCGTCGCTCATTGTGGAATTTGCCAAATAAGTCTAAATGGGTCGCCGTCCTGCTAAGTGTTACCGCTTCCAGAACAAGAAGCCGTTCATTAAGTCGCGCTTCTGCCGTGGTGTGCCCGACCCGAAGATCCGCATCTACGATGTCGGTAACAAGAAGGCTTCGGTCGACGCCTTCCCCTTTGTGTGCCACTTGGTGTCTGACGAGAAGGAGCAGCTTTCCTCGGAGGCTCTTGAGGCTGCCCGTATTGCTGCTAACCGTTACCTGACCAAGTACTGCGGCAAGGACAACTTCCACATGCGCATCCGTTGCCACCCGTTCCAGGTTCTGCGTATTAACAAAATGCTTTCGTGCGCCGGTGCCGATAGACTGCAGACCGGTATGCGTCACGCTTACGGTAAGCCCTCGGGTGTCGCTGCCCGTGTGGCCATTGGTCAGCCTATTATCTCGGTGCGTTCCAAGGACTCGTTCGGCCCTTCGGTCGTGGAGGCTCTGCGTCGTGCCAAGTTCAAATTCCCTGGTCGCCAGAAAGTGCTGGGCTCCAAGAAGTGGGGTTTCACCAAGTACGAGCGTGAGGTGTACGCTGAGATGCGTGCTAACGGCTCGCTCAAGTCCGATGGCAACCACGAGAAGTACTGCCCCAACCGTGGCCCTCTTAAGCTGTAAGCAGATCGCTTTGTATGGAACGGTGCTCTAGTGGTTTTAGGCTACTAACCAAATAAATTACGACTTTGTTTTGGCGCAAAATCTTTTTAAATTCTCTTTTTCTTTCTAGTTGCACGTTTCTATTGCTCTGTCGGAGTTTCTTCAAAGCCCACAGGTTGGCCGACGTCTGTGTGCGTCAGCGCCATGGCCTTAAAGATTGTTCCCATCTGCTCAGGCTCCACGAGACGCTCGTAGGACGAGAACAAGTCCTGTTGAACCTTCTCCGACGCGGTGTTCTGAAGCAGCATAGCCAGACGGTGCTCGATGCCCATATTCTTCAAGAACGTGCCTTGGCCGACTGGACCGTAGCTCTTGACCTTCGACTCGGCAGTAGCGAACCGCCGCAGCGTCGCAAAGTCCACGTCAATACTCAGATCAACGTCGCCTGGCTCGCGTAGTACGCTTACGAACTCGTGGTTCTTGATACCTCGAAGACTGAGCTCGGACGGGTGGTCGTAGCCGTAGTCCACGATCAACGCTCCACCTCCTGACTGCGAGATACGCTTGGCCATGTCCTGCACCAGAGCGATACTAACAGGCGAAATCTCGATCTTGTCACCGACCTGAGCTTGGGGCGTGTGTACCGGCGTACCAGTCACGTCTGCAACGTCCAAACGCTGCACTACCGTCTCTTGCATCTTCTTAAGATCTTCTACGCCGGAGATATGCGTCTCAGCGACGTGTGATAGAGCAGTTGACGGGTCAAACAGCTTCTCGCGTCCAATATACACGCGCGTCGCCGGTGTCGGGCCAGGCGACAGCACGAACCGGAAATGATCGCCGCCGTCCTCAAAGTCAATGTCCACCAAGCGCTCGCGCCAGCCACTAATGAAACAAATAGACCGTCAAGATATACTACCACGATCTTGAAAATACACTTGAAACGTACCGGTCCGTGTACTCGAACTGATGCACCGGCAGAGCATCAAACAGTTCCTGTGCGATCATCAAACTCGGGCCATGCGGCACATTGGCAAAGTCTGCGTGCCAGCGAACAGTGGGTCCGTTATCCGGAAGCCGCATTGTATTCTCCGGTGCTGTCTTGTCCTCAACCGGCTCGCACTTGAGCGTCTCCTGCTGAATCTTCTGCATTGCTGGACGATGGCAATTGCAATAACGTTAGCACTATTATCACATTTTCTCCATGCAGCAGTCATACCTGGACTAATATCCACCATGTGGATCTCAATGGCGTCGTAGAACGGCGGGAATGACTTGGCAGCTCGTAAGAAATCGCTCATGAGGGAGCCTCGTCCTGGGCCCATTTCCACGATCTTGATATGGCTAGGCATACCCATTTGTTGCCACGTTGCCACGCACCAGACCGCAATGAGTTCACCGAACATCTGACTAATCTCGGGCGCAGTGGTGAAGTCTCCTTGACTGCCAAAGACGTCCTTCTTCATGTAGTAGCCGTGGTCCGGGTGGCTCAGAGAGCGGGACATGAACTCGGCCACCGTAAGCGGTCCTTTGACCTCGATCATGGAGCGTAGCACGTGCACTAGTGAGTTTTCCTTGCTCTTGCCCTGTGGCAAGTCTACGGGCAGGTTGCTGGCCAGCGCACCACCCGGCTGCTTGAGCGCTGAGCGGTCCACCTGCACGGACAAGAATTTGGTTTTATCCTCGGGCTTCTGCTGCTGCCATTTCTTCACCTGTGCCTCTAGTTTCTCGTCCTTCGACTCTCCAGACGTTGAGAAGTGCGAAACCAATGCAGACGCTTGCGTGTGGCGAGAACCAGCACGCGCCGCCCAGCGACGAGTAGCTACGCTCCACATACTTCTTACCTATCTAATGTAATTTAAATAATTTACTTTCATTTTACGTTGCTCAAGTAAAAAAAAAAGTTAGCAGCGACTCTACCGTTTCCAGCACAATCGTTGCAGTGACACAAAGATCATGAACGCGACGCGGGAGCTGGAGCTGTCGCTTCCGTTCATCATCGTGTTTATTTTGCTGCTGTGCCTCTGCGCTGTGCTTCTTTGTCACGGCGTGGACCCTCTACGCATGCTGCGCTCGTCATTCAAGGCGCCACATCGGCCGCACATCGCTGTTTCTGGCTCGGACGGGGAACGCGAGGCTCTGTTGGCTGTCGACCGTAAAGCTCGTATGTTGCAATGATTGCTTAAGCTATTTGCAAGGTTTTTTACTAACGAGCTGCGTGGGCAGGGGTGAGATATACTGGCAAGGTTCCGCTATACACTGATACGATCGCGGAGTTGGCGAAATGCGAAACTCCGCGAGAAACCGAGGCTTTCATTAAGGTGATCGACATGCACCGACTTCTCAACTCGAAGGTCAAGGCGCAACACTTTGCACATTTTTGCAGTACGAGACTGGAGTTGTCAGTGCTAAGTGTCAACACATTGGCAACGATCATCTTGTCCTTGCAAAAGTATGCGGCAGAGCCTGACGTCGTCGCGTGCATTCGGGACTGCTTCTACGCCAAAAGGAATATGGCGTGTTTGCAATTGAAGAACAAGGTGGACACCAAATTCCCGATGTTTGACTTGATCTACCATCGTATTCGGTCACAAAGTGAGCGTGAGGCAATTCTAAAGCATTTTGAGGCAGAAGCAGCGGCACTAAGCAATTCACCGAATTTTTCCGCACCGATCAAGCTGTTGTGGTGCGTATTTTCTCGCTAATTTCGCACTTGCTGTCAACCTAACTGCCTATCGTCGAATGATTTCTAAAGTGATATCGACGACACGATGCTGGCCGCCCTTTTCGACACACGCTACCCAGAGCTGACAGTGTATCCAGGCGTTCATCAATTTGCACAGGAATTACTTCGACGTTCAGCTACAATCTCTGCTGACACAGCTGACTGGCATAGTGGATACGAACACGAAGACAGCGATGACGACGACGAGCTAGAAACTGGAAGTTCTGGTGGGTCAAAGAAACTAAAAGATGTCCAGCGCGTGGCCTTCCTTACTGCAAGACCCGAATTCCTTCGCAAGCGATCGGTACAAGAGCTTCGTGCATGCGGTTTCCAGCACTTTACACGTACGTAACAATCCGAAATCGGTCTATTTCTTTTGTTCTTAACGGACGGTATTATCCTGCCAGTCTTAATGGGTCGCTTTGCCAATATGTGGGGGTCACAACGCATTGCATCTGGAAAACTTCGGGTGCGCAAAGCTTCACACACATGCTTCCTCTTAAGTGCTAAGTTTTCTTGTGTGGTCAGAACTTCGTCCGATTCAAGCGCGTGTTTGCAGAACATCGCTTTGTCTTCGTGGGTGACAACGGCCAAGGTGACATCGATCTGGGCAAGGAGTTGCTGAAGGATCCTCATCTCTATGCCGTATCGGCTGTGTTGATCCACGACGTGATTCGCAACCATGCCACAAGTAAACCCCTGAACCAGCACTCATACCGTGGAAAAGAGTGTAACCAGAGTGGCATCCACTCTTTCCGCACATATATCGGTGCGAGCTTCCACTTGTATGTGCTGGGGCTTTTGCCTCTAGCTGCAGTTGTCCGTGTCGTGGAGAAAACTGCGTTAGCCTATGCTGTCATTGTGTTTGATACATGCGACCAGAAGAAGAATCTCGCTCAAGAAATTCTCGCCGATGTGGCTGCTGTGGTTAATGAGCTACCTGATCAACAAGCCATGGCGCTAGTGTCGTCACTCCATGACGATCTGGTAGGAGACGACGAATCAGACGGACAGAAGGCAGCTCGTTCGCGAGAGGAGCAACTGCAACAGCGACTTGATGCTGTAAGGAAAAACGCGATGCAGGTACCATACAACAATGCGCAGAAGATAGTGTAAAAGTGGGAATAATGCGCTGTGAAAATGTACAAATCGGTGTTTAGTGTCGATTTTTTAGCATGAAACAAAACTGCAATTCGGTGTTTTGATCGACAAAAGTAGTGGCAACATATCCAGCTATTCAGTGTACTTGTGGCAGCTGTATATTGCCGACGTAAGTTTATCTAATCGACTTTCTTGGAGACACTGTAGATTGCACCATCGATCATGCGTGCGACAGCGAAGACGCCTCCCACGATGGCACTGGTACTAGTGAGGAAGTGTAGTACAGACAGCTTGGATTCAATGTACTCGACAGCAATGGGAGAAAACTCGTAGGAAAATATCACACCGGGGAACGACACCTGGCCGTTCGGACCCCTCGAACTCGTCTCGTGCTCAGTTACAGAGTATTGGAACGTGGTGACCGACCTGCCGTTCAGATACACATAACGACTTGGCACGACACTCACGAAGTATTTGTATGTTGCCACTACACAACAACCACATAATAGTCACCGTTAGCTCCGCCACAACGCTCGACCAGACAGTGGTTCCTTACAGTTCTTTGTGAGGATCTTGCTGACGTCGATCAGAGGTGTCTCCATGTCTGGGATTTGCGGACCGAAGCGCAGATGGTTGACGACGTGGGAAGAGTTAAAGTTGAGGAAATCGAAAAAGGAGAAGACAGTGAGCGAGCCTTCGTGAGCGAACGACAAGTCGCCTGCCACCTTCTGCACTTGCACTGTGCCATAAAGTCTGCAGCCATTCTCTCCATAAGGTTCCTCTTGGATGTCTTTCTGGAGCATAATCTCCTTGTGGCCCTTAGAGTCGCTCACGTCCATCGCCACCTCTGTCAATACCGGTAGTACGCATTATTGTTCAGTATCCATTGAGTCCACCACTTGTAGACATCAATATATCACCTTTGCAGGCTTCGTGGAGAAAGGAAACATCCACTTCGATGTTGATTGGGAAGTCTTGCTGCTTCCCGAGTAACAATCAGAGCATTAGATACAATTATTCTCGCAGCAATTACTAACAAAACTTACTGGGTCAGTGTCCACGTGCATGCGATGCGTGACACTCACAGTCCACCAGACAGAAAGCTCGGACAGCAGTAAGAAGGCTACCGCCACGCAGCTCATGAGCGTCACAACGCCCCCGCCAATGGTGCGCTCCTGGATGCCCTCCACGCCCTTGGCATTGAGATCGAAGCGCCGCCAAGACATGTTGTGAATCACAACTTGTGATCGAGAGCTTCAAAGTAATTGCCACGTGGGGACGCCAGTCCAGCATTAGAAATGTGAGCTTCCTTTAGCAATATTTCTATTTCAGATACAACGTCACAGATTTTTGTCTGCATCTTTTGAAAAGGCAACTGGAATGCAACAGCTTATAGCTCAAGCACTTTGTGCATATTAAATAGATACCTATACGCCAGTGGATCATCTAAATTGCGGGTTTCCTTGCTTGAAGGGGGAACACCGGCGCTACGGCGTTAGGTGCCGGTGACGATCTCCAACCCCTTTAAGCGAGCAATTTCTATCTGAGTGGCGCTGATCCCCTTGCACCCGCAGAAGTTTAGCTTTAGACCTTGCACCCTCAATGCTGCCTCGGAAGTCGCGTCTCCATCAGGCAGGAAAGCGTCGATCGACGCATTTGTAAGCTGCGTGCACCACACCAGCAATAATTCCTGCAAATTCTTGCAGCCGCGAGCAACTTCCACGACGCTCTTGTCGGTGATATTCATGCACCACGACAAGTACAAACGTTCCAGTTGCTGACCGTAGGCCCCGATCATACCCACACCACGGTCAGTGATAAGTGCACAGTTGTTCAGGTCTAACACGCGCAGGTGCCTGCAAGAGCGCACGAGCGCTTCGATGCCCACGTCGGTGATCTCACTGCAACAGCTGAGCTTCACTTCCTCGAGGTACGGGCAGTGTTTTGCCAAAGCAAATAAAGTGACGTCGGTGATGCTGCTCTGTGTGAGGTCAATGGCGCGCAAGGCCCGACCCATGGCGTAGAAGCCGTTGCGCTGGTCTGATGGCTCTGTCGTGAACGCCTTATCCGAGATGTCCATAAACGACAAGTTCAGTCGCTGCAGGTCGGTGGCCGAGCGAAGCAACAGGTGGATCGCGTCGTCGTCAATGCGCTAAAAAAAATAATTAGAAATTGTCAGCCACCGTCCAGGATTTCTTTCGTTCATTTAGACTCACCTTGCAGCGCGAAAAATTAATATCAATGAGTGATCGGCAGGCCTTGACCAGAAAGAGGACGAGGTCTTTGGTTAACTGCGAGCACCGTGCGAAGCTCACGACCTTTAGTGACGTGCATGCGTGCAGCACGTAAAATGGCGAATGATCCGGCTGAAACGCGGCGTCGGTGATGTGGCGACATCCATCCAGCTGCAGCGTCTGCAGGTTGGAGCAACCTTGCAGCACCGCGCGGATCACCGTATTGGTGACTTGAGGGCAGTTTGACAGATCCAGGCAGCGCTGCATATCATCCAACAAGTCAGTGCATGTCTCTTCGCCAGTCTACAGAACTGCATTCATACCAGCTCCGGGCAACGGAAGGGGATCTGGCGCAGGATCGAGTTACGGATTGCGCAACAGCCTGACAGGTTGAGCACGCGACGAGAGATCATGAAGAAGGCGGCGAGACGGTCGTCCGTCAGCGTCTTTGATGCGATCATGTCGGCTAACAGCTTCAGCACCAGCTCTTCGGGAAGACGACTGCCCATTTGCATAAAGACATCGCTTAGCACATTTAGATCTAAGAAGTTAGCGGAAAACTCACCGAAGAATGCTGAGCAGTGCACGCTGTGGAGCGCCCATGGCCAAACGCGCCACACACAGCGCAGCCAGCGACGGCACCGCTTCGGCCATGGTTTGGTGAGGGTGGGTGGGGCGGGAGGTCACGAAGTATCAGCTGCGCACTTGTTGGCAAGTGAAGGAATGCCACAATGAAAATGGAATGGTTTTGCGACCGCGTTGTGGCATCCACTCAGCCTATCATATAGAAAGTTGATGAAAAGAGATCTCTTTATTGAGTGCAGCCATTAGAGAGCGTGAAATCACATTTCCTGTTACAATGACTTTTGCAGGATTGTATCGAACAATGTAGGATTGGTGTTTTCGGGAAGACCATCTGCGACTTGAAAGAAAAGAGTGATGGTCATTGTAGTTGCATCGGATGTAGCCATTTCAGAGACACAAGATAATTCCTGTGTCATGTACAGTCTCTCCCAGTATATTATTGAGTGAGCGACAGGTACGAATTCCACCAAAGCGCAGCACAGTTGCCTGTTCCCAACGGAAAAAAAAAACAAGAGTGAGACGTCTCAACACCAGAAGAAATTTAAAAACGTACCCCATAGCTGCGGCGGGACATACTTAAAGGACAGCCACTGCGTCACAGTCCACAATTTCCAGTTCATCAGAAGTGCGTCCCAATAGACACGAGAGAGATTCTCGCGTGAGGCTTTGGGACTTGAGCCACGCATAACACCGAGCTGCGACGAGAAGACAAGAACCTCTGAGATTGGCATAGATGGCAACACAAATATGTAACATACCGAGAAAAGAGTGAATGCCACCATTGGAGGAGTGAAGAGAAGGCGATCCAGTAGTAGTTTTTGTTGGGAGTCTGTACAATGTAAGGTGGTCGTTTAAGCTGTTGTTCACATGAGGAATCATCTGCACTTAACCCTTTTTAGGTACCAATTTCTCCTTGGTCACGCGTTGATTTTCGAGATACCCGTACCAGACGTGCAGCATTGGACCAGTTATGATACCACTAGAATTCAAGCAAACAAAACACATGAGTCAAGTAGCAGACGTTCAGCCAAAATCTCACCCAAATGCAAAGAACGCAAGCATTTGCCGAAGTGACAGGCCCTACATTTTACAGTGCACATGTGCAAGAAATCAAAGATGTCAACACTCCGTTATGAAGCCATGACAGCTGCAGACGCATCTGTGGTCATACCCGCAGCGTGTTATGCTTCAGCACATGACCTAAACGTCAGAATGCGGTACTGCGCCTGAGTGCAGTGACACCGAGGCGTTTAGCGATTGATCGTACCAAGAACTTCCCCTAACATCGCCACCCCTGCAGACGTCACTGCCTTCGTCCTGGTCGCAGTAATATACAGAGCACGAGTCCTCAATACTGCTAGCTCAATAATATTGTTGTACGCACCTTAGTGGATTCGTCTGCAGCGCCAATTGGTATTTCTGCGAGCCAACCATAATAACAAGGTGATCAGTCTGCCCACCCAATGGACAGCGCATGAGGCTAGCGTGAATGTGTGCTCTCGACGATTGAAGAATCACATGTATGCTACTCATTAGGTTTGATGCATTTTGGTAGTATTGCTGTTGATGAAGACCAATGCAGCACTGAATTTACGAGAATTAACAGGCTACCATTCTGCTAGATGATCGCGTTAATCCGATTCCTGTCGTTGGCATTAATAACCCGAGTCAGCACGTTGCATCTACATGTTGACAGAATTTGTCATTTAATGAGCGTCAAACGTACTCGAGCGTGTCCATCTCTACCATCGCTGCCTCAACCATTTGACGGCGCGCAATCCAGAATTCAGGTTCTGTGGACTCTTCACCGCATCACAAGACCAAGGTCAGAATTGAAGCTTCAGCATGCAATTTCGTTCGCACTCACCCATATCTGCAACCGGTTCGTGCTGTTCTGTCGATCTCTTGTTCTTGACAGGAATCTTGTGTCTGGTTGCCGGGTTCGAAGGTGATCTCGTACGCAACTGAGATACGCTCAACAGACCTGATACTTTCGTCGGTGCAGGTAGGTGGCTGCCTTGACGAGCACTTAGGGATCGATTCGCAGCCTTCGCGTCGAATACCGCTTCGTCCTCGTCTTGTGATGTGGGCCTTCTTCTCTTCCTGTTTCTGGACGTAGACCTCACGTCATGCTCGTGACGCGTCCGACTGGAAGTATGAAGTTTAGCCTCTCCGTGGCCCCTCACAGCGCTCGTACCAGCGTCAGGAAGGCGCGAGCCAAACGCGAACTTGGTTCTGGCTGTCGCTAGCGGCGGGATGCCTCCAATTCGCGGTCTGGGTGGTAGAATACAACGTTGACGTAAGCTCAGCAGGCAATAGCGACAAGTTTGTGCAGTGTAGCTAGGCGTACTTCTTGCGGGGACGAGGTGCGTCCTCTTCCCTGCTGGTCATTTATGTGTTATTAAAAAATGGCGCTAAATTCAAAGCATTAGTTCAAAATCCTATCATACGGAATAATAGTCTAACGGCGAGATTTCTGTCAGCGGCTGTACCAAGCTGAGCCAGCTCACGAGATATTGAGGTACGTTCGTATACGATGAAGCTTCAGTAGATCTAGCTTGGAGTTGGGCCAGAAGAAGCTGCATGGCTGTTGCAGTTTCACATGGATGCAAACACGAGAACGGCTTGCCCAGCACTGGATGCTCTTCCATTGCAACGAATGTAGATCGCCCGTTGGAACCAGGGAACTGCAAGTCACGCGTGACTATGTTGCTGTTCACCGGTGTTCCATCGACAGCCTGCACTCGAAAGTACAGCACTGGTGTCTGGTAGATGGTGTGATAGACGATGTGAAATTCGAGCAACGCTGTCTCAACATTCCTGGATTGCTGCACCATAGTCTGGGCTTCATCCACACTCGTCCAATTGTCCTAAGAAATACCGCAATATAGGTGTCAGTCAGACACAATTGCTGCGCATTGCAATGATGTAGAGATACTTTCGTTATCAGGTTGAAGTGATTTACCACCTCGATCCTACCCACCTGCAAGAGCTCGTCAATATCTCCATCCAACTCAATGATAGTTTCCGCAATGTCAGTATCTCTGTTGGAGTGGTACTGCCTAGCATTCCCCGTAGAGACGAGATACGAGTCTCCGTCCAAGTGCTACGACGTTGCAACAAAATCAAAAAGCAACCCTTCCAACTTCGTCATCCTCTTTGTGACGCTGCTCACCTGTCTGTTTCCGTGTTTCCACTCCCACGTCGCCACACCCTTGCCGCTCCCTACTTGTTGCTTGCTCGCTATCTCATGTGACCGCTTCTGTAGCAGATCTGCCTCCGCACAGAATCTCCGATAGCTGAGGCTTCCGTCTCTCATCTCATTTACCAAACCCACGCTACAGAATATGGTTGTGTATGCCACATCAAGCTGACAATCCAAAATCTCAAAGCGGAACACCTTCTCTCCTAACTGCTCGGGCCATGAGCGCGGTCCCCATGGACTCTTCGGCGATACTCGTCTGGATACTGTACGCCAGCGTAGCGCTGGTACTTTTCCTCCTCAGTACGGCGCTTATTCTCTACGCGCAGCCCAAGAACGGCGCGTCTTCGTCACTCGCAGCTTTCGCCGGCACCTCCACACTCAGTGCGGCGCCGCTCACCGTTTCTTCGCGCTTCGTCAACTGTGTCTGCATTTTGGCGCTCTACGTGTCACTGCTGTGCCTATTCACGGCCCCTGTGGACGTTTACTTACTCGAGAATGCGCTACCACATGTGCCAGCGAATATTCGGGCACTTCGAGTGATGTACCAGGTATATTTTGCAGCCTTGGCGCTGTATTCCTTCGTAGGCGCGCCACTGGCTTTCAATTACGCCAAACAAACGGAAATTGCACACTTGACGCTCAAGTTCTCTACCCGAGACCGACTATATGCCGCTACTAAGCGCACAGCGTGCTTCCTATTAGGTCTTTCGTTCCTGCTGGTCATGCTCATGGTGGTACTGCTTTGCGGCAAGCCTGCTAACTCTGATATCGACTGGTTAAGGCCGTTACTCAAGTTTTCGTCGGATCTAGAGACCTTTCTACGACTATTAGTGGGCATTTTGGCACTTACGGGAATGTACCTTTGGCTGTTCGTATGCAGTCGAGGATTAGCTAGTGTGCCGTTGGTGGGGCTGCTGATGGAAGACCATAGCATTGATGAAAACATGGCGACGTTTGAAGATCTACTTCAAGAGAATGCGATGGAGACTCAAGCAACGAAACAAACAAGAGAGACAATACTCCAGCGATACGTAGTCGAACAGCAAATGAGCGGAGCTGACCAGGAGCGATTATCGCAGTTAAAAACGCGTGAAAAGCTTCTGGAAGAACGTCGCGAGGTGCTGAATGCCAATCTACAGAAATTCGCTCTAACCGGCAAGTTATCTTGCTGGAAAATCCCGATTGGCGTCGTTCTGATCATCTTGTCGCTGCTGATCGTGGTTTCTATGCTTATCACAAGCATCGACAAGATGGCACACTCCAATTTCGAGCGTGGATTCCTCTTGAACGCTCCAGAGTTCCCTAATCCGATGGATCTGCTGTTGGTGCTTGCGTCGCGCGTCTTTCCGCTGGACTATGTGGTCTTCGCAGTGCTCTTCGTGTACCTGTTCACGATTTCGTTGATTGTACTCATGCGCCACGGTCTTCAGTTTTTGTGCTTTCGACTTGGACGCCTGCAGCCGCGCCTTACCTCTGCTGCCACGATGACAATGCTGTCGCTGGTGTTGATGCAGCTTGCTATGGTGGGACTGTTTGCGCTGCTCACTCTTGCGCCACAGTACGCTACTTTCGGCCACCAGATGTTCGCGGACGCTTCGGGGCGTGTTGTGCCTTGCACGTTACAGGAGGCAGCCAACGCCGCTGCAGCTGCAGCCAAGTCTGGAGGGCTGCAGACACATTGCCGCATGACGCAACTAGCCAAGTTCTACAACGCGCTTGCAGTCGAGCTGCCCATGTTTGGCACCGCTTTCTTTATCGGCCAGTTTTTATTTGCCGCAGCTTTTGTGCCCTGGATCGCGCACGCCTACTGCATGGCCAAGAAACTTGACGACCCCATCGACCCCAAGCGCATACGGCTTCTGGATGATTACTAAAGAGATTTTCTGAATCAGAATTAAAGATTTAGAAAGGTTGCAAAACATAAACCAGCGTCAACTACTAAATTCTAAAAATGTCGTATCACTAATTGAGCGTATCCTACCTACTGCTACCTGTAACGTTAGCTTTCATCTTGCTCCGTCGACTTGCACTGCATCTACTTTTGCACTCACTAATGACTGTGCGACGTCGCGTTGCTGGCCGAGTCCATGGAGCCCGTACGTTCCTTGCCAGTGAAAAAGCGGTTCTGGAAGCCGCCAAAGATATTGCGAATGCCACCCGCAGGGCTGGCGGAGTCGTTCGACGATCCTTTTTGTCCATTTTGCGACGTGTTGGAGCCACGTGCTTCGTCGAAAGGACCAACAGTCTGATTGGGGTCGCATCCAGCCAGGAATGCCTCGTACGATTGCTCTCGCTCCTGCAACAGCTCCTCCGTGCGGATCTGCTTGGCTTCCACACGTGCACAAACCTCCTCGAACGCCTTCTTTGCAGCCACATATTCTTTCTGAAGACCGTCAAGCTCGTGTTTAATGCCTGCTAGTTCGTGTTCGCTCTGCTGGATGTTACGCAGCGCTGGAGACTGCTCGTCGATCTTCAAGCACTTGATCGAGTACTTGACAGCCGACAGCCAGTTGTCTCCGTAGACACAGAACAAGTGCTCGCCCTTCTCGAGTGGCACAGTGCGTCGCACTTCAAAGAGAGACAGCTTACTGAAAATCTCGGGTAATTCCGAGTCGCTGTTGGCTCCAGGCCACAATTCGGGATTAAGGTCCATGAGCTCCACAGTGCTGGACAGATACATGTCAGCGGCGGTGCAGCGCGCCTTCTTGACCGACTCCTGCATCATACGCACAGCTCCGTGGTGGTCGAACAGAACCAATTTGAATTTGCTCTTACTGGCCGAGCGGCACATGAAGACGACGGACTCGCGGTCTTTATCCACCTGCAGCTTGTAGAAGTGTGCGTCCTGCTTGTCCACCTTGGCGTGGCGTTCCATTCCAAAGACCATTTGAGTGACTTGCGGTAGCTGCGTCGAGTTGTTGCGTTCATCGCACAGGTCACGAGCAGCAGACAACACAGTCTGCGAGATCTGCGTGGGGATAGGCATACCGATCTTGGTGAAGAGCGCACCCACGACGCGTCCAAAGCCGCCCATGGATTCGACATCCACGCTCTCGAACTCCATGTCCTTGCCGCTGTCACCTGCGACGTCATACTGGCGGCGCTTGTTGGGGTCACTAAGAATGGCGTAGGCGGCGCTGGCCTGCTTGAACTTGTCGGCAGCTTCGACTGATCCGGCGTTTCGGTCCGGGTGATATTTGAGCGCAAGCTTACGGTATGCGGTCTTGATCTCCAGCTCACTGGCCGACTTCTCTACACCCAGTACCTCATACAGATTAATGCTCTCCTCGGGCTGCTTAGGCACGGTCTCGCTCATGGTTATAAGAGGACAGAGGGGGAAGGCTGCAGTTGCTGGTGGAGAATGCTGAATTGAAGAATATCGAGTGTCGGGCGTATCTCTTGATTATGATTGGTTAAAAGACCGCACGACAAATCATCACGCTGGACTTCACCAACTCGCCATGGGTTCGGCGGATACAGAGCTCTCGTCGCACGGTGTGTGTTTGCACATTGCGGTGTTAAAAATACCGGCTTGCAGCAGAAGCCTGTTGCCGCTGTACAGTAGCTTCAGCTTTCGCTCGGGAGAGTTCTTTATGCAGCCTGATATCATGAAGCCATGTTGTTGGGGTAAAGCACCGAGGCCAGCCAAAAATGATAACGTTTACTAAGATAAAATTGAGTCAACACGAATGCACGTCAGCGACACTAAGCACATGAAAGATTTCCCAAAAACCAAAACAAGAAGACACACAGCCCCCTTCCTCTTTTTTTTTCTTTAGCGCGCTCGCTCACTCTCTTCCTGGTCGCTCTTCTTTTTCTTCCGCCTCTCGTTTCCACCACTCTCGTCGACCCCCTCCGTTCCCCCTACTGCTCCTAGCACTTGGTTCTACATCGGTTGGCCCCGCGTGCGCCACACACTTTCACCGTCGTCTCTTCACTTACTTCGCCGTTCCATCTCCAAAGTTCAGTCGTCACAAAGCGACGACTCGGCAGCGCAGCAGCAGCGCTGAGGAACGTTCCCCTGCGAGGGGCTCTTAAATAAGATCCGCGACGTTCATGGGCATCTCGTCGATCTGCGTGTTGTAGAACTGCTCAATGTCGCGCAGGTATCGCACGTCGTTGTGCGTCAAAAAGTTGATGGCCACACCCTTACGACCGAAACGACCCGAGCGACCGATACGGTGGATGTAGTTCTCGCGGTTCGTGGGCAGGTCGTAGTTGATGACCAGCGACACCTGCTGCACATCGATACCACGAGCCAGCAGGTCCGTGGTGATCAGCACACGCGACGAGCCCGAGCGGAACTCCCGCATAATGATGTCACGCTCACGCTGCTCCATGTCACCGTGCATGGCCGACACCGTGAAGTCCTTCGACTGCATCTTCTCGGTAAGCCAGTCCACTTTTCGGCGCGTGTTGCAGTAAATGATAGCTTGTGTGATGGTCAGCGTCTCGTACAGATCGCAAAGCGTGTCGAACTTCCACTCCTCGCGGTCGATAGCGATGAAGAACTGCTTAATACCTTCAAGCGTCAGTTCGTCGCGCTTCACAAGGATACGGATGGGCTCGCGCATGAAGCGATGGGTCACTTCGAGCACGTCAAGAGGCATCGTAGCCGAGAATAGCGCCACCTGCACCTTCTCGGGCAGGAATCGGAACACCTCGTAAATCTGGTCCTTGAAACCACGAGACAGCATCTCATCGGCCTCATCCAGCACGAACATCTTGACCTCGTCGGTACGCAGAGCGCGACGGTTGATCATGTCACCCACACGGCCGGGGGTACCGACCACAATGTGCACACCCTGCTGAAGCGTACGGATGTCATCGCGCACAGCGGTACCACCGACGCAAGCGTGCACCTGAACGCTCATGTAGTCACCAATAGCAACAACGACCTTCACGATCTGCTGGGCCAGCTCACGCGTAGGGGCGAGAATCAGAGCCTGGGTCTCCTTTAGGTTGATGTCGATCTTCTGCAGGATAGACACAGCGAAGGTAGCAGTCTTACCGGTACCGGACTGAGCCTGGGCAATGCAATCGTGGCCCAGAAGAATAGGCTTGACGGCGCGCTGCTGAATGGCGGACGGCTTCTCGAAACCGTACGCGTAGATACCGCGCAGCAGGTCCTCGCGCAAGTCCATGCCGTCGAAGGTCTCGATCACCTCGTCCCAGTTGGTCTCGATGTCGCCCTCATTAAGCTGAACCTGCTCGTTTTCCTGAGCCTCCTCGACGTTCTCACTGTTTGTTTAAGCGGACAGATTCACAAGACCGTTAATGACGCGATGGGGACTGCAGTTAAACGACCGTTTCGGAGGGCTTACGTCGGCTTGCGGTCCTCCACGTCAGCCATGGTTGATAAGTGTTTGTTGTATACGGCGCGTAGATGTGGCGAGAGGCAAGGAAAGGCAGGCGGAACGATCGAGTTCCGCGGTCTTCCTCTGTGTGCGTGTTGTTCGGTTTTGGATGCCTGGAGGAGAAATCAAACCCGCGCTCAGGACCCGTCACTCACTTAAACTTTGTATGCCTCGCCAAGTGGGTGGCCAGCAGACTCTCGCTCTATTCTGTGTAGATCACATAGCATGTGTTTCAAACACAATTCAATAGTACCGTGGATGACAGTAAAACTTCCTGACAATTTTTGGTTTTAACTAGGCTTCACATAGATTTGAGTCGTTACTAGAAAGATCGCTCACATGTTGTGGTACTCGAGCTGCCAATGATGTGTCCTAATTGGTGACATAGCGTTCGAGTTATTGTACAAAATGTCTTACCATACAAAATATGTTCTGTACCCAATCCTGAATAAGTCGATACATCACCTCGTACAGGAAAGGTAAAGCAATGGTGCCCAGGAAACTCGCTGAAGACTGACTTATAAAATTCAATCACATCTCCTTTTTCTCTCATCTACTCAAGCTCCTCCACTTCCTCGCCTCTTCTTCAATAGGTTATGAGCTCAACGCAAGCCTCCACCGCTGATGACCGCGAGTTTCCGCGCCTCAATGGCCGGAACTTCTTCATCTGGAAGACCTCGTCACTGCTGCCTTCGAAGGGAAGAACCTCCTCGGCTACGTCGAGCGTATCGACTACACCGGTGAATTCAATTACGAGTTCGACTCCGATGAAGAACTCAACCCGGCACTTTCCGACATGAACAATATGTCCGCCGCGCTTGACGCTGCCGGTGCTCCCAAGGCCGACGAAATGGTGGGCTCCTCACCGAGAGAGTCCTCCTCCGATGCCAGCTGCGCAAGTCAGATGCACCCACAACCGGAGACGACGGTGATGTGGAAATGGGGCAGGAGAATCCCCCCGTTATCCAGTCATTCACTGCTCAGAAGCGGGATGAGCTGAAGCGAGCAGAGAGGCTGAAGGCTAAAAGCCAGAGGCTGAGCTCGAAAAAGCTTCGACTCAACGAGGCAAAAGCAAAGGCTTTCCTTATCAAGACCATCGATGACCAACATGTTATTATGGTCAAGGACAAGACTTGTGCGTTTGAGATCTTCCACACGATCTGAAGCAAGTACGAAGGTGCTGCCATCCACGTCGATCCGTATCATGTGCTATCATACCTGACGGCAATGAGGTATGAAGAAGGTTCAGTCATTACGGGGTTCATAATTGACATCGAATCCGCCATGAAGGTTGCCTCCGAAGCCACAAACAGTGTGCTCAGTGACGAACGGAAGTCACTCTGCTTGTATTATGCGCTTCCTGGAAAATGGAAGCAGCAACTATCGGTCTGGAAGGGTAGCAGGAAATTTATTCCCTACGAAGAGCAGAAGCGTCACATCGAGGCCAAGGTGCTGCATGAGCTGGCGAAAAATCGCTACACACTCAAACAAGGAGCATCCGAATCGAGGGAAACCCGAAACGAGCAGGCCCTACAGGCAGCACCCGAACCAACCTTGATTCCAGCTCCCTTTCAAGAGAGCAAGGCTCTCATCATAACGATGAATTGTACATACTGCCTGCACACCAACCACGATACTGACGATTGCTACGTTCTATAGCGCCACCTACAAAATGGTCAGGTAAAGGCAGGAGCGGTGCTCCCCGCCAACTTTAAGCTGAAACCTTCGTCCGATCAAGCTCGACAGCATCCTTACAAGGACAGTTTCGGCGGCAAGTCACGAAATCAGAATCGGAATGACTACAAGAGCAAGCGGAGCAGCAATCGAAACAGAATCCAGAGCGGCAACCAGAAGAATACGTCTGAAAAATCCAAGAGTCACAATGAATTTTACGGTCGCCGCAAGGACACCGACTCCAACAACGAGTATGGAACCATTGCCATCACCACACTGGACCTCAGCCAAGAAACAGAGGCTGTAAGTCTCACCGCTTAAGATGCGGAGCATGACCCAGTGTGAACTGTCGACTCGGGCTGCACTCGCCACGTTACGTCCAATCCGAAGTGGTTTGAGAAGCTGATCCCAAGTGCTAGCAAGTCAATCAATGTCGGCGGCAATCACCAATTCCGATCAAAGGAACTGATAATGTCAAGATGACAATCAAGGACACGAAGGGAAAGGAACGAGAGATCTCCTTGACCAACGTGTTGTATGCGCCCCAGCTGAAGTTCAACCTACTCTCCGTGCGCCAAGCCGTCGAAGATGATTTCAAAATCAACTTCTTCAGCGCTAAGAAGTGCGTTCTGCTCTTCGCTAGCCGAACCAAATTTGAAGTCAAAATTGGTGAAGGAACTCGACTCTACCAGTTTCAAGCGAACCCGGCAACCTCAAGTTAGGTAGCCCATGTGGCCACTTCAGGTAAACCTGTTAATGTTCTACTTTGGCATAGATGAATGGGTCATCCTAACTTTCACATTATGCAGGATCTGGCTAAAGCCAGCACTGTCATGGACATGGGCCTGAAGGACTTTAATTCCAAGGAAGACTACTTTTGTTCTTCCTGCACGCACATACGCCAAGGCCCATCGTAACCCATTCAATAAACGTACCGTTGAACGGGCAAAGTTCCCTCTTGAAAAGGTTCATTCCGATATGGGTGCATTACCCGTTTCCACACTTTCGGGGTGCCAATATTTTCTGATCTTCATCGATGACTACTCACGGTACATGTTCATCTACATTATCAAACGAAAGTCTGAGCTGTACGAATGCTATGAAGATTTTCGCAAGAAAACACAAAACGTTTTTCGCGCCGATGTAGGCGAACTCCAGTTCAATGAGAACATACACGATGAAGAAATTAGACATCTTTAAAGCGACAATGCCCAAGAATATGAGAAACTTGGAAAACTTTTTTTTCAGAAGTACAATACGCACGCACAATTTACAAATGCGTACACGCCCCAGCAAAATGGAGTTGCGGAGAGGCGCATGCG